AGATTTTCATTTTTTGAAAAGATTTTTAATGATTTTTTACATCCCCCCCAAAATGAGAGTGCTGTATATATTTTAACTCCGTGGAGTCTTTATAGATACTTGCATTAAATTGAGGAATTAAAAGTTGTCTTGATCAGTTCCGTCCTGGTTTTCACTATCTTGCCAATTATTGCTTATTTTTGTGCTCCTTACAAAGAAATGAACCTGGTCATTTTTTCTTGCTTGCCCAGAATAGAAACTGCTTAATGCTGTGATGGATTCCCTGATATAATTAGATAGTTTCTGAAGTAATGAATAATCTGATTTTATTTTTGTATGTACACTTAATAATGTACATTTTAGCATTATTTTTAATTGTTAATTTTGCCATTAATTGTTCTAGCTCTAAATATTTGCTTAATATGTACAATTTATAGATTAAACAAGGTAGAAAGTTTATATATATATATGTGTTTTTTTTTTTGGAGAGGTTTTCACTATAGGCCTGAATAATGTGGAGCAATGCATAATTTTTCCTAAAGAAAATCTTGGTCAGACAACAAGAGAAAGAGGGAAACAGTGAGAGAAAATGAAGGAATACAGAGGCAGGGGAGGTAGATGACCTCTGGGATGCATCGAGGGGAAAGCCAAGAGTAGGAGCTCTCTTTCTGCTCGACAAGAAGGTCTCTTGAACCACTGGCCCCAAAGGCTTTCAGAAAATAAGCTAGTATCTGGTAGCATTAAAGCCATCTAAGGAGCAGGATGGGAAAGTAAGGGAAGGATGCATTTGTTCCATGTGATCTAAATCCATACACTATGGAACCCAAGATGCTACATGCACCTGAAGATGTAGTCTGGACTGAGCATCAGAGGTGTGTCATGGGGTTCACAGTGACCATGGGTGAGATAATTGAGTCATATAGGGTGAAGATCTTGGCCAGGAGATGAATGAAGGAAGTGCATGAGACTCAAGGTTGGGTCTATAACCTGAACTAAAACTTACCTGAGTAAGTTAGAATGGGAGCATCACCAGCCTGATCAAACAGAGAAATGAAATTTGAGCTGTGTCAGTCACAGACTTAACCTGAGAGGCCAAAAAGATACTCAGAGAATTACTCTCTTGTCCAGTCATTATTCAAGAACTCAGCCCAAGTCAGCCACTGGGTGGCTGAAATCACCAAGCATCCAGAAGGCATTGTGTAGATGTGAAGACCTATCTTCCTTTGCCACCTTGTCAATTGAATTTCACTCCTCATGCATACATTTAGACACCAGTTTAAAAGGGGACAAGATTGGGGCCAGCAGATGGTGTAGTGGTTAAGGCACTGGACTCATACAAGGTCAACTGTGGTTTGAGTACTGGATCAGATGGCTTGAAACTCACATTGGGCATGCCCCAAATCCTGAGGGCAGAATGGATGGGAAGGGATTATGGCATGGCCATCTCCCCTAGGGGATGATTTCTTGCTGTTTCTCTGTCCCTCTCCTGCAAGTACGCATACCCTTTGGCAAAAATTTCTCATAAAAAAAGAGAAAGTAAAATGGGGAACAAGGTTAGAAAGAGGGAGAGGATAAAAAAAACTGAGTTATTTACTAAGGAAAATAATCATTTACTTAAAAAGACTATTTGATTTTATTCATAAAATTAAAGCATTAGATTTTTCTAATTATTAGCTATTTTCCTCTACTATCCAGCAGGTGACACTTGCAAAAAAATAATAATATCAGTTATTAAGAAAATAAAGAAGCTAATTTTATTTGCACATATGACTTTGTATAATTAAACATATGACCCAGCTACAAGTTCATAACATAACATTCAGCAAGTTACATATGCAAATGCCTGCTTTAGTTTATTTTAAAATTAATTCTTAGGTGTGAAGGTAAGGGTGAAATGGTGCAGGCCCTCTGACAAAGGGAAGAGTCAATTGATGAACTTGGTGGTAGGAGATGTAGGAATCTGGATTAGGGAGGATTATGATGTTGGGGAGAAATAGAGATGATGAAAGACGGCCATGGCCGTTTATCCCTTCCGAAGTTACAGTAGAGCTGCCAGGATTACTTACATATTTTGATACCACTCTCCATTTAAGAACTAAAGGATGACAGGCCATCAAAGCAGTAACCTGTGGTTCTACGCACCTAAGAGATGACTGAATTTAAAAGGCTGAGTTTCTGAGCATGGCTGTGGAACAAAACTATTCCCACATATGGGTCTTCTGGCCTCAAGCCAATTCCTCTTTGACTCTCTAGCCCACCTTCCCCAGTTCCACATTCTTCATGTGTTCAGTTCTCTAGGAGTCATCTACTCCATGGCCACATATTCCAATATCTGGTCCCTGGCTCTCCCAACAGCACTTGGCTAACTACAGTTTAAGTCCTAGAATTGGCAGCTTGAAAATCATGATGAGCATGTGTGTGCATGTACCCAAAATTTCAAGAGGAGAATGAAGAAGAGATTGTATCATGGCTAATTCTCTTTGGAGGGTGATTTCTCACTTCCTCTGTCTCTCCCTGGCTTGGTAAGTGCATGTGCCCTAAGGGGGGCAGAGGGAGACTCATAATATGGAAATGAACTTTAGAAGTAACAAGCTATTTTAGGTACTCTGGGGACACGTTTAGAGAGACAACCTGAGGTGTGGGAACATGCTCTGAGCAAACACCACCTGTCCTTTGGAGCTTTGGGAGAACCTTGTAACTTTGCTTTCCTTTCCTTTTTTTTTTTTTTTTTTTTTTTTGTGATCTTTTTACATTACTGTCATAGGTCG